ACAGCTTCCTGAGAAACTGGGTAAAGGCACACAGGAGGCTCGGAATCAGTTCTTACAATGTGAACACACAACGTGGCAAAATATAAAGTTTAATAATGAAAAAAGAAAAGACTGGGCTGTTGGTGTCCATGCCCAAGGCTTCCAGGTGGACACAGCAGAGGACACATTCGGCCTGGCCTGGTTCCTGAGCACTGGCCTCCTGGAACAGGGGGACCATAGAAGGGGAGCCACTGCACGGCTCACCCTCTCTCTGGGCACAGGGCAGTCCCAGGAGCAAAGGGGAAGCAAGGGGAGGAAAGGCGCCCTTCCCAAGGCACAAGCCGCCTTGTGGTTTGACACTACTGGCACCTGGGGGATGCTCGTTACTGCAGCAAGACCTACCCGACACCGCTAGGACTTCTGCCCATCCAATCCCACCCATGCCTGCCCACACCTGACTTCACTCTTGCCCAGATGACCGTCCTGTCTCTTAAGACAGAACCCCGCCCGCATGCTGCCTGTGGGCCCCCCCCCCGCATGGGCCTGCAAGCCCTCCCACAGGTGGGCAGCAGCACACACTGCCAGAGAGGAGGCCGGACAAGGCTGCACCCCACAGCAGCAGGCGGCTCTGGCCTCGACCACCCCCTCCCAGGTGTAAAACAAGGGCGGAGCCAGCTTTAGAGCTTTCCAGCTGCAGGATCCTTTCTTTAAACACAATCATTCCCAGAGAGTTCACATAGAATGGAGGAGACCAGAGCTGCTCTGGATGAAGGGAGAGGGAGCAGGTAGCTGGGGTGACTAGAACCCCCCAGTTCCGGGGGCCCCCTCCCACCACTGGTCCGGCAGCTCTCCACAACCCCACGCTGATGACGCTGTGGATAAAGCCCAGGTTCTGAGGCTGGACTCACAGTCCTGCTCCCAACCTGCCCTGCACTTTGCGGCCTTGGGTAAACAGACAGCCCCTCTCCCGGCCTCCCTGCTCTGACCGGCAGCTCTAAGACCAGACGGGGTTGGCGCCTGGCCGTTCCAGCCTGCGGGGCAGCAGAGCTGACCCCAGAGGATAGGTCTGGGCAGCCGAGAAGTCAGCCCAGCAGGTCGACCAGAGGCTGAAAAGACGTCCGGGTCACACTGCCAGAGCTGCGAAGGCCAAGGGCAGCAGGCAGTCTGATACTGCAGACGGGCCCCTGGGCAAGAAGAGCCAGGACACTGGGGGGGGGGGGGGCTGGGGGGTGCAGGGACCAGCTGGGACATCAGCCCTGCAAGTGAAGCCTTTCTGGGTCCTGGCTCTGGAGCCCAGGCCCGTCTCCTGCCCTGGCGGGCTCATTAGCACCCCTGCAGAAGGAGGGCAGGGATCCAGCTCCTCGTTAGCACAGCCACTGAGAGCCAGGGCAGAGGGCAGCCAGGCCCGGGTGGAGGCTGCTGGGCTACCGTGGGAGGGACTGATTCTGGGCTGCTGGTGTGAAATGAGCCCCTTTCCAAACACTTGGCAGGAATGGATTATGGATCCCGGTGGAGGGCAGCTAGAGGTGGCTGGGCAGGAGGCGAGGGGCTGCCCCCAGCTGGCGCTGACTCCTGAGCAGAGCTCCTACGCCCCCTCATCTCCCGAGAGGCCTGCCCTCCGTCCTCCCCAGCCAGCACCCCACCCCCCACCGCCACCCCACACCCCCAATATCCAGCTTCCAAGTCAGTGCAGGCGTAGTCTGCACCCCCCCACACAGGCCACATCCAGGGTCTGGCTTGAGCATCAGAGGACAGACACAAACAGACAGGTGCCCGAGCATAGCGCCTGGTCCCAAAGCCCTAAAAATGCTTGACTAGACAACTGGACACCTTTCCACAGGACCTGGAGAGCAGCCACGGCCAACGGTGGGCTCACTCTAACCTCCTTTCATCCAGCCATACTGAGAACCAGAACTCCAAGTTCCAGGCCGGCCTCCCCCTGACCCCATCCAAAAACACACTTCCAGACCTGGACTCCCTAATGCCCTCGACCCTTGCCTGACTCTGCTCGAGAACATCGCTCCAACACTGAGAGACGTTCAGGATTAAGTCTTCACCAGGGTAATCACCACCATCACCAAAGACGTCCTCCAAGGGACAGGGCATCCTCCGGGGTGTAAGCACCCTCCCATCTGTCCTCCGGGAGGCAGCAGAGCAGGAGTGCTGGGTGGGCAGGGCGACAGAGCAGTGAGAAGGTTTGGGAGCCAGTGGGCTGGGTTCAAATCCCAGCCGCTCACTTACAGGCCTGTGACTCTGGATGAGCTACCCAGCCCTAGGAAGTGTCCTGATCTTAGGAATATAAAGAACCCAGCAGGTGCCTGGCAGACCCCAGGGGTCCACAGTGCTGGTGACCATCACGGCGACGATACGAAGAGGGTGACAATGGTCGGTTCTCCTGTGCTCCCTCTAGTGTGCCTCACAAACAGGCCGGAGCCAGCACTCTGGAGTCAGAGGGCTGCTCAGAAGGGGGAGCGGCCACACCAGCCTCCCGAGCACTCCCTGACTCCCACGGCCCCTCCCAGGGCTTCAGCGCCCACACCTCAGCAACGGCACTTCCAACTCACCTTCTATCACTAGTGCTCAGCTCTCTATCACTCCACTTAATTTTCCTCAAAACAATCATCACTGTTTAAAACGGTCCTATTTATTACGGCAATAGGAATGTTATATGTCAGGTTCACTACTATGTCTCCCAGATGATAGTGTGCACTAAAATTTGTGGTATGAGTGACTACCCTACACAGTTACTTTATCCACATTTCTTCTCTGATTCTCATGTGTGGCTTCAAGAAAATCTGTGAGTGGTATTTGCCTCCTCTGCCCTAAGGCACCCAGGCAGGACAAGAACATTCAGAGCAGAGAGCAGGGCCAAGTCTAAGGACCAACATCAAACACGCCAGGGCAATATCGCTGGAGGAGGCAGAACAGGCCCCTTCACTCTGATCTGTTCATTCTCCCTCCACTTTAGTCTTTCATCACCCACTCCTCCATTTACGGACCCAGCAAACACTTAGGAGCCAGGCAGTGCTGGGTGTTCTGGCAGAAAACAGCCAAATCTCAGGGGCCGCTACCTTCCCAGCCCAGCAAGTCCGTGATTACTACTGATGTCACAAATCACAATTCAAATAACAGAAACAATTATGGCTGGATTGAGCCACCCAGATTAAATTTCTCTTGTAGCAAATAACACAATCAAAACAAACCCAGCAACCACTGACATGCCTGTGTGCATTAAAAAAAAAAAAAAAACAGGTCTAACTTCTCCCAAACACTAGTCCAGACACTAGTCAGAGAGCAAGAAAACTTAGTAACAAGCAGCGTGCTGTGTGCTGTGAGCCATGGGCACAGACATGGATGAACCAATCCAGGGGAGATAGGAGACAGTTGCAGTACAAGGCATTCTAAGCAGAAGACACAGACAGTCTCACACCAGTGAGAAAAGACATGGGATGTGCAGGAAGTAAGAGCTTGTGCCCTAGCGGGCCACACGAAGCAAGTGGTGGAAGATGTGGCTGGATCAAAAGGCAGGAACCAGGTCCCGACCAACCATCACCTTACAGGAGGAGACTTAAGGACTCTTGTCTGCCCACAAGACCCAAAACCCCCAGACAGCAGTGCCCATGCCTAGGTGCCCACCTCAGGGCCTGCAGAGGAGCACCCAGGGAAGGCAGAGGGGATACAGTCAGGGCAAACAAGACAAGAGAGGAGGAGAAAAATGTGCAGGGGGCCAGGAAGCTCCACCTCCTCCAGGAAGCCTTCCTGGACTGACACTCTCCCACAGCCACTCCTGGACAAGCATTTGCTGAACCAGGTTTCTAGTAAGGACCTACAGTATATGAGGATGAGCCACTAGGAAGTACCGCTGCAGTAGGCCGAAGCACTCCAATACTGACACACTTGCCCATTTCTCACCCTGACACTGTGTCCACACTGGGGCTATAGTGAGGAACAATCGCAACCCCTGCCTCACGGGGACCCAGGATAAAGCAGAAAATAAGCAAACAAGTGACAAACACAAAACACGAAGCGCCGGGAAGGAAAAGGGAAAGGACCTGAACCAGGGTAGTGATAGGAAAGGGTGGTCGGGAAAGTAGGCTGAGACCCACTGGAAGGTCGGTGAAGTGCCATCCAGCCAGGAACCAAGAAGTGGGCAAGAAGTGGGCAGGAAGAGGGCAGGGGAGGAGAGAGCCAGGAGTAGCTGCCATAGACGGGCAGAGGCCTGTCTAGTCCCGCTGCTCCACCCGGAGAACTTTCTGCCGTGACCGCAATGTTCCAGGCCTGCGCCTCGCTACCTAGTGGCCACCACGCCGGACGGCGCGCGTGGACCCCAGAAGGCATGAGTGAGACTTGAGTCTCCCGACAGGAGGCCCCCGAAGGGCGTCCACTGAGGCAGTACAGATCGGGGTCAGCAGAAGGTGGACAGGCGGGAGAGCCCTCATCCTCGGTGCCCAGGAGGCACGTTTCAAGCCAAACGTGGAGGGAGGGTAGGAAGGCCCGGAGAGGAGGCACGCGGGGCCGGGCTCTCTCCCTCGACGGCTGACTCCGACTCCCGGGCGACGAGGACCATCCCGGTGGGCACCGGGGCCCCTGGACAAGCGCTCCGCCCCCGAGACCCGCCCCGTCTATGGCCCCGCCCCGCCAATGGCCCCACCCCCTACAGGCCTCAGCCCACGGCAGCTCCACCCCTCCCGGAGGCCCCGCCCGCCCCGCGCGCGCCCCGCCCCCGGCCCCGGCCCCGGCCCCGGCCCCGGCCCTGGCCCTGCGGGCCCCGCGCGCCCCTTTCGGCGCCGCCCCCGCCTCGGGGAGCACGGCCCCGGGCCGGCCCAGCCTCGCCCCGCAGGTCCGCCGCCGCCGGCCCGGCTCCGCCGCGCGCAGCCGCCTCACCTGGGCCTGGGTAGCTCGCGGGCGCGCTCTGTGCGCTCTAGGCGGGCGGGGCGGGGTGGGGGGCGGAGCCAGGATCCAAACATCACGTGACGACCCTCCAGCGCGGCGAGGGCCTCGAGGCACCCCCGCCCGTCGCCTCAGCCCCGACGCCTCGAGCCAGCCAATGGCCGCGGAGCCAGGGACGCGCCGAGGGCGGTGTCCGATTCGGAACTACAAGTTCCAGAGGGCCCCGCGCGGGCGGCGGAAACGGTCCGGGACGGCGGCCGACTGGGCCAGAAAGCCTGCGCCCGGTGGGCGCGCTTGCGGTCGCCGGGATGTGTGGTCCTCGAGAGCAACGAAGTACCGTGCATCAAGTACCGGCCTCCGGGCCGGCTTACTCGCTTCTCAGAGGCTATGTCTTCCCATCTGCGGAGCATTTGGGATTTTGCATTTATTAGACACGAAGTGGGAGGACTCGCTTCGGAGGCCCAACCAGATCTCAAGGGTCTGAGAGGCAGAGCCGCTGCGACGCAGTGGCCACGCAGGGCCTGGACTCGAGAGCCGAGGACAGAAGGGTCGGCGCCCAGGTCTAGGACGGCCCACGGGGACTGCCGAGAGGAGCCGCGCCCCTGGACGCCACGCCTTGATCCGTACCTGCGGGCGCGCAGACCAAAGCCTTTCCGCGGAGGGCCTTATGGGGACGGGTCTCTAGAGCGCCCGGCTGTGGAGCTGAGGGTGCGGGGCCACGCCCCGTGCTGGGTGGGGGAGTGGAGGGAAGGAGGGGAAACGGGACCACACCTCCTCCAGGACGACCGCCTGCAAAGTGTATTTCCTGCCGACCCAGCCCCCCACCTCCCAACAGGGTAGTCTAGCGGCGTCCCAAGCTGTTTTGGCACCAGTGACCCGTGGAAGACAATTTTGGGGGAGAGAGGGGGATGGTTTGGGGCGTTGCATTTATTGTGCACTTTATTTCCATGATTATTACATGAGCTCCACCTCAGATCGTCAGGCGTTAGATCCCAGAGTTTGGGGGACCCTGGTCTGGTGCCAGCAGGGCCAGCCCAGAGCCAGTGCTGAGTACCTGCTGCTTCCTCTTTATCTGGGGCAAGCCCTCTAGCGCCCCACCCCACCACCCAGAAGCAGTAGCGCGGGCCCCTCCATCAGGACCTCCCCCGGGAGAACCAGGAGGGAGGTTGGGTAAAGGGAACATCTAAGAGACCCCCAGAGAAAGAACGGAGGGAGGAAGCTGCCGCAGCCCCCACAAGATATCTGTCTGTGCGTCACATCCTCCCTCTGTGCCCCGCTTCCGGAGGTCCCTCTGTGCAGCGCCCACTAAAACTGACCTCAGACACGCACAGGGGCGTAGTGTTCACTCAGTGTCCCCACAGAGCCTAGTCTGTTCTATCACCACACCTACACCTGTGTTGCTGGGTGATGTTGAGCAGTGACACCTCCTCTGGGCACATTTTCCAAAGCGTTGATATGGGAGCCTCTGAGGCCACAGAGTGCCAGAGCGCAGGCGTGGGAGGCGCCGGGGGGGCGGGGGGGGCGGGCATGCCCCCATGTCACCCATGTGGGGGGCAGTGTCACAGAGGAATGTGTGCTGGGAAAGTTCTGGAACAGGCCCAGCACCTCGCAGGGGTCTGACCAAGAGAAGAATCTTGCCCCCAATCATTCAAGACCAGTCTCATCACAGCCCCAGGCTCTTAGAAAACTGACTCCAGCATGAAACTCGTAACAGCCTCCCAAGGTATTTATCACCAAGCAGGAGTGGCAAAAAAAAAAAAAGTAAAAGAAAATCCCAACAGGAGCATTTGAGTGTCATCTTTGCTAATCACATCCTCTGTGAAGGAAGAGTTTGCCGCCCCTCCTAGGAAGTAGCAGAGCCTGCTTCTCCATCCTTGTGGGAGGAGGCATCTCCACGCCCCAAGGAGCCATCTGTCTGTTCCACACCCACCACCGAGGCTTGCTACCTGGCACAGGGTCCAGACTCCTCTTGCCAAATCTTATCCTGTTTGTCATCACTTATTCGTTCAACAATCTTATTTCCAGTGTCAGGCAACATGCTAAGCCCTGGGGATGCCATACAATTAGATTTGGTTGCTAATGACAGAAAATTCCAATAACAGTGACTTAAAAAATTCCAATAACAGTGACTGAAATAAGATCAGTGTGTACTTTCAGTATTACACATCTAGCCTAAATAGGCTGTAAGGCTGGGAGGGCACCCCTCACAATCATCAGTATCCCGGACTTGCTTAATCTTGCTGCTTCTCTGATCTTCAAATGGGCCCTCTGCCTCATGGCACAAGGTGGCTGTGTGAGTGCCAGCCATCACATCTGCTTTCCAATAGCAAGAAGGAGAACTGGACAGTGGAAAGTCACTCACCTCCAATCCCATCCTTTAACAGACACTTCTTAGATATTGTACACCCCATAACCTGCTTACACCATCACCCCTGCTTGGCCAGAACTGGGTCCTCTGGGTACTTCAAGTTGCACGGGAGGCTAGGAAACGTCATCCTCCCAAGGACTATGTTCCCAGCAGCCATCTGGGCTCTTGCACCAAGTAAGACGGTGACGATGAGGCCCACCTAGCAGTCTCTGTGAAGACACAGCCCTTGTCGCAGTGCTTGTGGTTTGTTTAGCAGGTGGGCTACAAGTCACACAGATGTTCTTGGGAACCTGGGTGGAGGCTGTTCAGGAGCAGAATGGGGGTGTGGGGACCCAGAGGGGGCTGGGGGTCAGGGAAGGCCCCCTCGACGAGGACACCTAGCATGGGGAAGTCTTGAGGGGTAGCCCTCCGTCCCGATCAGACCAGCTGCTCTGACCACCTCTTCTATCCCTCAGCCGCGGGGAGCGGGGGATGGGGCGCTGGCCCTGATGGGGAGGGGCACCCACAGAGCCCAAGGGGCCTCAGCGGCTCTAGGGGCCCAGGCCTGTCCCTGACACCCAGCCAGGGCTCCACCTCCGTCTCACAACCTGGCGCCCCATGGGGCTCTCAGCCTGTAGTGGCCATAAGATCACAGGCTGTGGGGTTGAAAAGCAGCTCTTACCTTCCGCTCCACGGCACGCAGTTCGGCCGGAGATTACGGTTCTCGGTGTACACGCTGTTCAGCGGTACTTGGACCCAGGTGAAGCTGGAACCCCGTGAGGGCCGTGAGCCTGCCGGCCACGCTGAGCCGCAGGGTAGCCCACGGTGCTCCTGTGGGAGGCGAGAGCAGGAGGAGTGGGAATGCAGACACTGGAGGGGACACCCTGGGGACCAGCCAAGGCAGCCAGCACTCCTGGGTGCTTGCTTCCCTGTCTTGGACACAGCCACATTCCATGGCCTCCCGGGCAGTTTGGTGGCCCCATGGCCGGCCCCAGACAGAGGACCAGGAGCAGCAGTGAAGGACCCCCTTTCCAGCTGCCATAAGCCGGCCCCATGGTCCTTCGTGCATCCCCCGTGTCAGCAGGACGTGGAGGAGCTCCGCCGGTTTGAGGGCTCCCGGTTATCAACAGACAAGCCCTAAGAGGGAACGGGCCCAGGAGAGGGGCCATCTCATCTGCAGGTGAGCGAGTGTGAGAGGAGGGGGCAAGGTCAGGAAACGCACAGAGAAGGTGCCGCCTCTGCAGGGCCCCGAGCCCAGACGGCCAGCCCAGCGCTGTTTCCCAGGGGCCCAGGGAGAGTCAGTGAGGAAGACAAGCAAGCAGCAAGGGGCAGGGAGACGTCGGGGTTATCCCGGCACCCAGTGAGGGTGCGCTCACCCGCAGGCAGGGCACCAGGAGCTGGGCCCTTGCTTTGAGTTCCTCTGAGGGTAGCATGGGAAGTTGTCTCTGCAGAGGAGCCCCCGCACCAGACCAGCGTAGCTCCTGCCTGCAAGCCCCTTGATTTCCTGAGGTGCTCTGCGCACGCAGCGCCTTGTTCTTTTGTTATCGGGTCTCTGGTTAGGGACAAACAGTCTCCTTCTTCCCTGCCTCTTCCTCTTCTCTGTCCAGTTGAGCCACTGGACCAGTGGCCACGGCCGCCGACTGCCCAGCCTCCCACCAGCCCTGCGGCACGTCCTCCTGGCTCTACCACAGGCCAGCAGGGTGGCAGCGACGCCGAGCCTTGGCTTCCTCAGGCCTGCGACACGGACCACAGTGTGCCCTGCTCTCTGGGCTGACGCGAGGCTTGTGCGAGCCAGCACCTGCAAAGCCTTTCCAGCCCTTAGCCCAGGCCTGGCCCACTGGAGACGCAGGGCATGTGTGAGCATGTGGCCTGTCTGATCTATCAGTGAGTCTTGGGTGGTGCCAAGCACTAGTATCAGGCACCATGTGGGTGCTGCCCTCAGGGTGTCTCAGAGGAGCAGAAGGAGACAGGCCCAGAGAATCACCTACCGGGTGCTAAGTCTGTTGTTATTTATTACTGTTAGTCATTCAGTCATGGTCAACTCTTTGCAGTCCCACGGACTGTAGCTCACCAGGTTCCTCTGTCTCTGGGATTCTCCAGGCAAGAATACTGGAGCAGGTAGCCATTCCCTTCTCCAGAGGATCTTCCCAATCCAGGGATCAAACCTGGGTCTCCTGCATTGCAGGCAGATTCTTTACCTTCTGAATTAGAAGGTCACATTCAGAAACAGTACATTTTCCCCAGGGTGTTGGGAAGATTTCCCAGAGAAGGAGCATTTGGACTGGGTGCTGAAGGATAAGTAGGAGTTTGCCAGGCAGGACTGGTTTGAATCTACCGTGGCTGCTGAAGAGGGTTACCTTGTCCACCTCCTGGGTGCAATTCTGCCTGAGCTCCTCTAACCCGTGGGGATTTGTCTGGACTCCCCCATTTCCCCTCCTCTCCTCCCTACACACACTCATATACAGTCACACACACTCTGACACTCAGAGTCAAGAACTGATTTCAGTGCACTATCCCCCACGCCTACCAGTGCATGCAGGGAACTGCGGTAACAAGATGCTAATGAGCAAAGGTAAACCTCAATGAGAAGAACATTTTTCAAAATCACAACACTGTGTGCTTCCAGGCCTCCCTCCCTGCAACCCAGAGAGCTGCTGAACCTCACGACAGTGCTGTGTGTGGGCAGAAAGCCCGCCAGCCCCACATCCTGGGATGATGCAGGGGGTCTGTGAGGGGGCTGAGTGGGAGCGCCCTTCCCAGGACTGGCTCCACAGTGCCCCTGTTCTGCCAGCTCATGCACCTGGTCTGATTTGGGGGTGTGAACCCCCACTCAAGGCCCTTCCTGGGCCACCATCACCCAGCATCACATCCAAGTGCCTTGGTGCTGTCTACGGCCATACCACCCTGAACGCGCCCGATCTCGTCCAAGTGCCTTGGTGCCCAAGCCCACAGCACCAACTCTCCAGGCGCGCCCTCTCACCCGTGCCCGGTCGGTCC